CCTTGCATACATCAATCGCCGGGGTCTCCCTAGTATCACCGGTATCCTTCTTGAATGCAAAGCCCAAAATGGCAATCTTCTTGGTCGCCACGGTGTTGAACATGGATGAAACGAGACGGTTCACGAATCGGTTCTTCTGGTAGTCATTGATCTTGATGACTTGCTTCCAGTATTCAGCCACCTCGGGGAGACCATTGCACTCACAGATGTAGACCAGGTTCAGAATATCCTTCTGGAAGCAGGACCCACCAAAGCCGACACTGGCGTTCAAGAACTTGGGGCCGATTCTCGAGTCCTTGCCAACAGCAAATGACACTTGAGTGACATCAGCACCAGTTGCCTCACACAAAGCTGACATGGCATTCACCGAAGAGATTCTCTGAGCCAGGAAGGCATTGGCAGCAAGCTTGGAGAGCTCAGCAGACCATAGGTTGGTGGTCAAGATTTGATCTTCAGGGACCCAGTGAGCATAGACCTCCTTCAATGTCTGAATTGCCTTCTGGCCCTCGGGGGTTTCCCTTCCTCCAATGAGAACCCTATCAGGGTTGAACAAGTCTTTGATGGCTGTTCCTTCAGCAAGGAACTCAGGGTTTGAGAGGATCTGGAACTTGATCCCCTTGCTGTTGTGTGTCAAGATCTTCTCAATTGCCTCTGCAGTCTTCACGGGAACAGTTGACTTCTCCACAACAATTTTGTCCGATTTGGAGACATCAGCGATCATACGTGCTGCACTCTCCCAGTAAGTGAGGTCTGCTGCTTTCCCAGCACCAAGACCCCGAGTCTTGGTCGGGGTGTTGACCGAGACGAAAACAATGTCTGCCTCGAAGACGTGCTTCTCCACATCGGTGCTGAAGAACAGGTTTCTGCCTCTGCACTCCTTGACAACATCCTCGAGGCCTGGCTCGTAGATGGGTAGCTGGTCACTGTTCCAGGCATTGATCCTGGGGACAGAGATGTCGACAACTGCAACCTCAATTTTGGGGCACTTGAGTGCAATCACAGCCATGGTTGGCCCACCGACGTAGCCGGCACCAATGCAACAGATCTTCACCATTTTGTCTTTCCTGAGATGAAATACGGCAACGCCATATTAGAATACCGAAATCAAAAGGCACATGCAAAGAACTCAAATTTCTGATCCCAAACCCCCCACCCCCAACCTTCTCCTGATCTATAATTTACCAGACTAATGTAACAGACACCATTAATTTAAAGCACAAGACTTGTTGCACGGTGCTTTGGTGCCTAAGATCTAATCACTTGCATAGAGATAGGCCAACTGTTTGCAACGAATTCAGCATTTCCTAAGGATCCAGTAAATGGATTTCCATGTAAACAGATCTAGGGAGCGTACATCATGCCATTGCCAAGCCACATGGATCTCGAAAGCTAAAAGTGCAAAACACAGGCTGATATGCACGTTCGAGCCAATAGGGGGAAAGAGCGTATGAAGTAATCACGAACAAAACGGTCACATACCACAACTGAATCCACCACAATAGTCCCTAATAGTCTATAGCTACATCTCGTTCCAAATCAATTCAAATCTAGCGATTTCCATAGTCAAGAGAGAAAGCAAGCAACTGAACCGAATTGACAAATCGGCAGGCAAACCAAGCTCACAGATCTCGCAATTCAAACGATTCAGCTAGAGTATGGAACATTAGATCGAAGAGCCTAACTGACTGAGCTCGAATAGAGGAAGATAGATAACAGAGAATCAAACACTATAGTCGTGGGGGCAGATCGGTAATGCATAGAGTCAATGGATCTACGCATAGAATTTCAGAAATCGGGAGGAAGAGATGAAGAAACGACAATGGAAATCGGAAGCAAAATGGGAAGCGGAAAGAGTGAGATCGGGATTCTTGCGCGTACCTTGGCAGTCGGTGGAGGGAATCTAGAGAGAGAGAGAAGAAGAAAGGAAATGGGTGCGTTGGTGGTGGACGAGAGAGAAGGGGAGGAGGGTTTATATACAGGAGAATGGAAGAAGAGCGCCAGCAAGTCAGCAACGAAAGAGGCGGGGAGGAGAAGAGATCTGCCACTGCGTGTAAAATGGTGTGGCCCCTCCCCTAATCGACGGTAATCAGCATAAATTGTCACAAATTTTTGTCATTAACATATAACGGTTACAAATTAAATAGAAGTGACCATTTGAAATTAAATAGAAGTGACCATTTCATACACTTTCAAATTTTTGTTATTGTATCGTTATAAATTAGTGATCGTTTTGTATTAAGTGCAAAAGTTTGTTATCAAGTCGTTACAAATTAATAGTATGTGACCGTTTTGAAGTCGGATCGTGTGTTCGTCAAGTATATGACACTAACCATTTGAACGATATATGAGATGTCGGGTCGTGTGTTCATCTATATACTTGCCTTGCCGAATAAGAATGATCTATGTGTACATTTCAATTTCGATAACAAGAAAGTAAGAAAGAAGGACGAGTTTTTTTCAACTAAAAAGCAGCATGTAACCCATTTGTGAGGCATTGAATTCCCTCGCTATCATCCCCTTGTTTTTTTTTTTTTACGAGTATTGTCATCCTTTTGTTATGATCATATCATTCACATAAATTAACAAAGCTATCATACCTTGACTAGAACGAATTGTATCAGTGACTGATCGTTCAAACTTTTTGAACGTTGTACAAAATGATCACCAAAAATTTAATTTATATCGACCGGAGAACCGAAGTTTGAAATTGTATTAAATGGTCACTCTATTTATTTTTTCTCTTACTATTGATAATCAACTCGTAGTTGGGGGTTAGAGTGTAGAGTCAGAGAGGTTGTTGACGTGGACTCGTCAATCTTCTTTCTTTCGTTTGAATATTATTTTGCTAACCCTGCAGTTGGCAGAAACCAGAAGGTGGTGGTGGAGTGGAATTGCGGGAAGTTAGTTGACGAGGGAGAAAACGGCAAATGAAGAAAAGGGTAGAATTGTAGAAAGGAAAGGAGTACTGTTCATGCAACCATACCGTATCAGCGGTTCAACCACGAAATATCAATATCAGAGAGAGATTAAATTATTAAACGGTATTTAACGATACTAACAGTTGAACTACAGTACGATATCCAATACGATTTCATGGACCATGAAAAGGAGTAGGATCGCAAAAAGCGGCACCGGCTTTAAGTTGAATGGACGGAAATGACCTTCCTTGTATCCAGGCGGCAGCGGAAGGTGCATTGTACCGCGTCCGTATGTACCAAGACGCGGTTTCAGCGCCGCACCCACGGCAGCTAGCAGCAGACCGGAACTTTGTCCAAATGTGACGATAACCCTTTTGTATTTGGTGAAGTTGAGGTGAACTGGTTAAAGAAATCTCTGGATATCATAATCAACGGCTTCATTATGTATATGATAATAGGTGATTCAAGAATGCAGATACATTGTTTAGATACTTTTTGATGTGTAGTAAATTTCGAAATCGAGGTTTAGCAATTGTACAATGGTCTAATGTGGTTCGAAATGGGATCAAATAATCATGATAGGTTTAAATCAATGGTAAATGAGATTTGAGAACCAGGATTAGATTATTACGGTATTTGATTCGACTTGATTCGGTTCAAATTTTGATTTGGTCCCTCTTTTTTCTTTGATATTTGGAAAATTTGAAGGTATCGGACTGCACTATATTCAATCAATGCGGGTCATTGACAGTTTAACACCACTTTGGTTTTGGCGGGTGACAATAAAAAATAATGGTATTGGGATGTTGTGCGTATAATTCAAACTCATGTTGTAATTAGTTTTTTTATCCACTTTTTTACTTATATACATTCATTTACACTTTCATTGTCGTGTCAACTTTTAAAATTAGTGTTGTTATAGTCAATAAATAGAATTTTTGAGAAAATATTTTTCTCAATGAAGTAGGTGAAGAATACGTTGGTGAAGCTATTAATGAATTTATCAATGGTATATTGTTGTCACACTCTTTATAGTTTCGAGCATAAATGCATTTAAAAATATTTTAGAATATAAAAATTAAACAAATCGTATTATAAAAAGTTAATAGAAATTAATACTTTTTTTTTACGTCGGACCTACCTTAAACAAAATATTGGCTACGCTGCTGACTCTCACACTAAAGTTTATTCTCATTTGTAAGGCTCAGTTTTGAGAAGTATAGGCTCCATTCTATAAGTTTGAGTCCAAAGGTCTAGCATTTCTTGGTCCTCTTTGATCTGTAGGCCCAACAAACCATTTTTCCCCCAACATATTCTCCTTCTAGAAAGCTTGATCTGGTTAACAAAACTTAGCATGACGATGATGATGGAATGTGGAGTTCCCATCAAAGAGTTACTGATATGCAAATCAAACAAATATTGGCGGGTTCCTCCAGCTACAAGACACGAGAATGGTAAGTCTTCTTCATCGAAACATTTTCCCTGCCATCATTCACCATTATGATGATGAATGGAGAAGACGTTCTTACAGAAAAGAAATGATGAACGAGTTCCATGTGCAGATACAGTTTTTTTGGGGGGGCTGGTAAAGGGAAACTTGGGAACTAAGCCACCAAGTTAATTAGACCTAATTATTTGCTTCAGGATACAGGAAAGGAAAGCCTGCAATTTGAAGAGTGTTTCCGAAGCTTTCACTATCGTTTGATGATAATTATATTCTTGGGGGGAAAGGTACTCTAATTAAACCCACCTGGAAATTTTCTAATGACGATGTTCGAGAACAGATCCAAACCAACCAGATCCTAGGTGTTGGGATTGGCAAGGTGGTGGGTGATCGTTGGTCCAGTGTAGAAATGTTCACTGTGGTAGGAAGAAATAAATAAAATAATTCGTGTTTGAATTATAATTTGTGTACCTATTGTTAGTCAAACTTATTTGTGCTAGCTAATTTTTTTCATTGAGAAATAGTTTGTACTATGCACAAATTAGCAACCATATCGTGTTTGTTGTTGTGATATCATTAACCCTACTGAAATTTTATTTTGTACTTATACTTCTGACGGTTCTTTTCTTCAACAATTTTTCCTCATAACACACTATTTGATGATATATTAGATAGAGAGAGATTCATGGCGGATAATTCTACATATAGACTTCTTTGGGTGTCATATTACCAAAGGTAAGATAGACTAACGGTAAAACTCCCGCGACAATGAATGTTTAGGAGTTGTGGGAGTTTTATGTAACTTTGGTACTGACTACTGAGAGCGATGCATGAAAAACCTTTTTTCCCCCACTGCACTGTGTGTATTAATTGATGTCCCTTCCCCAAACAGTCGACACCAGTTACCACCGACACTCGGAAAAGAAGGATCTTTTCTTCCTTGGCTCAATTGTTTCCTTATTAATCAGAGAGCAGAGCCTTTTCGTGTACACAGCAGCGACTACCTAACTTATTTCTTACAAGACTGGGCCTAACTAACTCAAAGCTCAACTTACCATGGCGGCTTGTTTGCCACTTTTATTCTTGACCTGATCTAATCACTCACTGCTGCAGCTGGCCGATTTAGTTAGCTGGCTACTCTACACGGACGGGTTGAATGTTCCAAATGTCTCTGGCGTACTCGTGGATTGTCCTGTCGCTGCTGAACTTGTAAGAGCCAGCTGTGTTCATGATCGACATTCTCGTCCACCTCTGTCAAACCATGGGCAAATTCAAGAGTGTTAAGGGAATGTGCTTTGGTTTTGGAAGGCTGCTCTTACTGTGTGTGTGTGTGTATATATCTGTAGCTTAAACAAAATATCACCTGTTGGTCTCGATACGCTTTGTCAACCTCCTCCTGGCACTCGATGTAGCTGGGGAAATCCTTTCCAACGAGGAAATAGTCGCCGCGGCCATAGCCTTCGTTGCCTTCTAGTGATCCGAGCAATTCGTCGTAATTGTTACCCCCAAACACACCACTCCTCACGAACTCCTTCACTTCTTCGAACCGTGGGTCAGCGATGAACTAGAAATATCCATTTAGCCATGGTTAGCACTGCGATCATTATGCTCAATCGAATCTGGTGGATAATGGTGCATTTGAATGTAATGGTAAAATAAGCAGGAAAAATTACCTTCCCCTCAGCTCTTTCTTGCCTCAACCCAGCAATATCTTCTGCTCGAGCACCAAACAGGAAGAAGTTGTCTTCACCAACCTCTTCCCTTATCTCGACATTAGCCCCGTCTAAGGTCCCTATTTGTACACAGCCGTTCATTGCAAACTTCATATTGCTGGTTCCACTTGCTTCCATACCAGCAGTACTGCAATATGTAGGAGAAGAAACTCAGAGAAAGCAAATCTCATTGTGCTCACTTTAATGTCTGGATGACCAATGAATTTGAACGAGAGGAATGGTCGGGCAAAGCACATTTGAAGTCAGGTACCTGATATGTTGAGAGAGCTCACTTGCTGGAATAAGTAATTCAGCTACACTGACATTGTAATCAGGGACAAAAATCACCTGATACATAAGACAAGCAAAATTAACTAACCAAGCAAGATTATCCCTTGCAGCATATGCCCAACGATCCTTGCACTAATTTGTTTCTTAATCACATATCAGCAAGTTACAGAATTCTTGGAAGCATACATACCTTCAGTAAATCACCTATCTCCGGGTCATGATTAACAGTGATACCAACATCTGTGATGAACTTCACTATTCTCTTGGCTTGCACATAAGTAGCAAATGCTTTCCCCCCAAATATACAAACTCGTGGAGCATACATGTTTTTCCTTTCTTCTACACTACTTTCTTTCATCTTCTTGTATCGGTAAACAATGCCTAATATATTAAGCAACTGGCGCTTGTACTCATGGATGCGCTTTACCTGAAGATGGGATAAGAATGAGAATACAGTGACTTCAAATGACAGTAATGGTTTTGCAATGTGCTAGAGGAATTGCAAACTGAAGTGAAAAGGTGTTATTATGTCCACTATGATACTAGTCCATGCTGGTTTTGAAGAGTCAGGTTGTTATGCATAGTTCTCCGATTAGAAGCATCAGTTAACATAGACTAGAATGAGCAATAAGCTGTCAATGCAAATATTAAAAAGGTAATCCATGAAACGAGTAGAACTACATCATCAGAATTCCTCTACTGATTTCAGCCTTCTATTGCACTCCTCTCTCCTAGACTTCATTCAGAATTTGTCCCACATTCTAGGAACCAATCTAATTCAATCAAATCAGTTTTTTTTTATATAGATGAGCTTAGCCCCTAGGTCGAAGCTAGCAGGGTTATATGCTTTGCATCCACGTGGGATTATCTAATCCAGCAAGTTAACTGACCAAGCTATGATCTGATTTTCTAATTCAATCCAGCAAGTTCACCTAAATCCTTGCCAAGTCTGCTGAATTGTACAAGCCTGTGTTGTTCAACTGAAGAAAATTACCTGGATATCAAACATTGCATCGGGGCTCACAGTATACCCTGTTTTTTCTTTGAGGAATGAGACAACCTTCATCTTGTTTTCCCTTTTTGCTGACCTCCACTGGTTTTGGAGACCCTTGTTATCTGCGAACTACATTCAAATTATAGATTAGCTGTCAGCATTAGTCTAGACATACAACTGACTTGACTACTTGAGATCTGTAACTAGCCAACAACCAGATAGCAAAACTCGATACATCCTAAATCCCACTTACATTAGGTATTCAAGCATTAAGAGAACTTCTGATATTGCCATATCGATTATACTAAGTGTGCCGGATCTGTGAAATTCAATAAGTTGGAATATGTATTACCTTTTTTAATTCTCCCAGTCTTTCAGTGTTCAACACCCAATCTTCAGAGCCAGTCCACTCTGTAATAATTTTGCTCAAAGCAGGATTACAGAAACGAATCCATCTTCTTGGTGTAACCCCATTGGTCTTATTTTGGAATTTATTGGGCCACAACTGCAATACCAGTCAATGTTAAAGATAAAAGCTTTCACAATAATTTGAAAGCAAACCAAAGAAGAAGTCAACAGGTATAATTCATCTCAAGGAAATATATGATGATCCAGAAAGGTCGACAACACACCTTATAAAAAGAATTGAAGACTTCATCCTTCACTATCTCACTGTGTATTTCAGCAACTCCATTTACTGCATGACCACCAACAACACAGAGGTTAGCCATGCGAACCATTTTCGGAGGTTTTGGTGGTGGTTCTGCCATGACCTTTTCCTCATCGGTGCTTTCATCCTCTGATTCATCCTTCTCTTCAGCTGATTCAGATTCTTCAGAAGACTCTTCCAGTTCTTGAAGGGAAATAGCAACAGCGATCTCTCGAGGTTTAACTATTAAATGAGCAAATTGTTCAGGCAGATCAACATTTTCCAGTACTCTCATTTCTTTCAGTTTCTTCTCCAGCATTTCCGTATCTTCTTTACCATACTCGGAAACAATCTCATTTATAAGCTGTAGGATAAGAACGGACCAAGATTGGACATAAGATACATGATCCATAAGAAATAAAATTTAATTACGGAAGTAACTAGTGTTACCTGTTCATCAATGGTTTCTATGATCTCAACATGTCGAGGTAGCAGTTTCTGCATAAGATCTAAACTCCACTTCTCCAAAGCTTCAGGTAGAACAGTATGGTTTGTGTACGCCACAGTCCTGGTGCATCAAGTGGTGAATATAACCTTGCAAGCTATTAGATGATGAGCTACAACATGAGAATGAAAAAAAAACTGCAAAACGGCATGCAAATGAAGAAAAGGAGAGAAATCATAAGCTGTGGGAAAACATAATAAAAAAAACGGTCAACCATTTTTGAAAAAGCTCATATTTACGATTAATAACCTGTTTAGAGTTTTGAGAAGTTTCAAAGTACTCTAGAAGCAAAGTCTAAACACAGCTTAAGCATGTTCTTCGACATCCCCAAACCAATTCCCTAAGTATATGAACTGAAAAACCTGACAGCAGTCCCATACTCTCATAACATGTAAATTCCCAAGACACAAAGTACGAAAGGTAGGGAGCTATCCATATTCGAATACCTCTTGGTGATGGTCCATGCATCATTCCAACTTAAACCTTTCACGTCCATCAAAATCCTCATCAGCTCAGGGATGCAGAGTGTGGGATGAGTATCATTCATCTGAACTGCAACTTTATCAGCAAATTGTCCCCAGTTAATATTCGAGCCTGATCTTATCTCAAATCGTGCAATGATATCTTGGAGTGAAGCTGAACACAATGTATATTGTTGTTTCAGTCGAAGGACCTTGCCCTCCTCTGAGTCATCTCCAGGGTAGAGGACATAGCAAATCTGTGATCAACAGAAAGCATAATGGAAAAACATTACATTCTTATAAAGTCACACTTCATTTGCACTCAAGTGACCATCAAAACTATAACATAAGTAATTATATGAATAATCAAAGGTTAAGAATAAAATATAGATGAAACTATATGTTTCAGAAAGCTTGGATAAGGAATTGAAGACTAATAGAAACTATAATCTAAGTTCATATAAATAATCAAAGGTACACGGATAAGAGATAGAAGGCTCTATATCTTTTAGAAAGCTTGGATAAGGAGTAGGAGACTGAAGCTAACAAATAAAAAAATCTAGTTTAAAAAACTAATTGCTAAGGGGATAAAATCTTGATTGCATGTTGCAACAATGCAGCATAAATGACATAGCTGAGTTGACATGTATGTTTTTAATGAACAACGGAGTTACGATACCAAAGTGAATATTAACAACTAAACACCTTCTCAGCATTTGCTAGGGCCTCATATGCTTGCATGTGTTCTCCAGCATTGAAAGCAGACAAATCAAAATCATTTGTTGGAGCTTTAGTTGACCAAAGTCGTAAGTTATTTGTGGTTTTTGTCTTATATCCTGGAATCGGGACATCATGGGCAACGGCTGTTACATCTTCTCCGCCAATCCAGTGTCTTTTCCCATCTGCATCACAAACAACCTTGCCATAGAACTTCACAGGATATGAGACATCGTTCCTGACTATTTCCCAAGGACTGCTCATCTGAATAGAAGATGTCAAAAAAACATCAGAAGTGTTGACCCAAAGTTCATGTAATCAAATTGAGGCAAAAGCCATGAAGAAGTAGACACACCTCAAGCCAATTTTCAGCCACTTCTTCTTGACCGTCTTTTGTGATAAGCTGTTTAAACAAGCCATACTTGTACCTCAACCCATAGCCCCATGCAGGGTAGTCTAAAGTTGCCATAGAGTCCAAAAAGCAGGATGCCAGTCGCCCAAGACCTCCGTTACCAAGTGCAGCGTCAGGCTCCTAATGGGTGGTCAAACAGCATGGTTAAGGGATAACTAATTACAAAGTGGGCTAGAGACTTCAAAGTGACTTAAATCATTATTTTTCAAGCCAAGCATATCAACAGATGAACTTACAGACAGATATACTAATTGCTCTTATCATTGATTGGATGGACACCTTATAATTTGGCATTTTAACGAAACAGAACTTCTAATGGTAGACTAGAGTATGACTCCTGCTGCTTGAACTGTAAGGAGAAAAGGTGGGTAACCTTGAAATTTTAACGGTGCTTGATGAACCTTGTGCTAAAAGGAGGAGGAAGGTAGAAGCAGAAACAAAGAGAGCCATATGGCATTTCGGTTAAACTAACAATCATTGAATCGCCCAACTGCACAGACCATCTGAAAGCCTATCAATCTACTTTAGGAAGCAGTTTAGGTTTTCTGGCATTGAATCCATAGCCATCTTTTGTCATTAAGTTTTCAAGACCTAGATACCAATAGTTGCCTACAAAGTTAACAAACAAAAAAACTCGACCATGCCTTTCAACATTGAAAAGTCATCAACAATGCTCCAACTTGTTCAGGAGAATCCTAAAGAACCATACCTGGGAAGCTACATTTTCCAGGTTGTGTCCAAGCTTGGTCAGAGCCTCTGCATAAGCACCAGTAAGCTCTAAATTACCAATTGCATTCAACAGCGCTCTACCCTACAAAACAAAGAACACCATGAAACAGTGATGTGTTAAAAGAATCTCAAGGAATGAATTGATGATTTATTGTAACCTCCACAACAGGGCATACCTGCAAAAATTCCATGGACAGATAGTAAGCCTGCTTTACATCCAGCCTCTCGTAGCGCTCGTACGTTGCGTTCCAGTTGCTAATGAGAGCATCACGAACACTTTGTGCTGTTGCCAAGAAAGCTTTTGGAAGATCAAGTTGCCCAGGGGAAAACGATGGCGAGAATTCCGCATGATATTTGATACTCGATGCGATGGATGAAGCATCCGGTGCAAGTGCAGGCCAATTTGTGGAGGATTCTAAACACACACACACACAAAGTTGTAACAACTGAGTTCAGTATCCAAGCATCAAACTCCAATCTATTATGCCAACAACTCAATCACATCTGTTTCCAGGCTGATTATGTACGGGAGTATCGTACATAAAATGTGAGATTTCGTCCTTGCGCAATGCCGCCATGGTAGAATTATAGCACTTTTAGCTATAATCTCTCATATCAGGATTCAGGAAGCAGACCAACGCAATCGGAAAGCCAACTTCAACCAAATTATCATCGCAAAGCTTTGTTATGACTCAGTGAAATACAGAAGCCCAATCCAATAATCAGTCAAGACGAACAGCCATGAAAATCGTGTAATTACATACTAGTAAGACGGAAATGCTAGAAATGACGAAGAGTGATCACCTTGTTGGACGGCCGTCGGGTGATTCACCGAAACGTTGGTGCCGGAAAAGGACCTCTTGTGGAATGGGCTAGAGTTGAAGGTGCGAATGAATAAGAACTTGGATCTCGACCTCGAGCTGACGCTACCTGAGCCGAAATCGATCAACCTAGAGACTGGACTAGGATGAGGGGCTGCAATTGTGGTTATCGGCGTCGACATCTTCGTTGTCTTCTCCTAGCTTCCTCACTCTCTCCCCCCAGTTCAGATCATGAGGGTGAAATCAAGGAAATGGTGGAAGGACTTTGTTGTTGCTATTCTTAAGCAAAGCTAACGATTGATTTGCGGAAGAGTGGGTGAGTGTGACACACTCAAGACACGCACACTCTCTCACTACTCTCTCTCTCTCTCTCCATCTCTTTCTCTGCCATCACCTTACCTTACACGGTTTTGACTCTATAGATTTTGAACGCCCCTTTTTTGTTTTTGCCTTTTTTTCCAATTATTATTTGGGCATTATTGGGGTAAACTACATGAATGGTCACCAACCTTTTTACCAATCACCAAGCTTTTATTATGTCATGAAATTGGTGTCCAAATTCTGAATAACTAACTATAAATTCTGATTAACTAACATAATGGTCATTTTTCAAATCTTGATTAAGATATACTGTCCAAATTATTCAGAGCACTATGTCAATGATTAAATTTACTTTTAAAAAGTACAAAATCTTATTGACGAATTATAGGAGTGGACTGCTCGTTTTAACCAATGTTTTATCAAAATTAAACTCATTACTTCGATGTATTCCAATCCAAATTGCACATTCATCTCGAAATGCCAATTTTTTTTTATTCGATGTGTTCTACAACTCTATCTGAGTTAGCTTGACTTGCATGTAACAAACATTCATGATGGCGAGGCATGGGTATTATTACTTATCCGACCCTTCACATTGGCAGTCTGTCCTATCTTGATGATCCCCATCGTTTATCGTATCAGTTCTCTGTTGACTTCTCGTATACCATATTTTAGTTGCATCGAATATATGACTATTAACAAAGTGTTATTTCCTTTTTTCCCTAAAAAGTCTAATTGTTTGTTTTTTTAGAACTAGTATATATCATAATGAGTCTACCTTCCTCGATTCATGTCCCACCCGAGTATTTCTAATTGGATCGACAAATAACATAGAGTGGTATTATGATACTAGTTCCGTTCCACCTCTCATCATTGCAATTCCTAGCCAAATTATTTCATCATCGTACTCAAAAGCTAATTATAGGATCTAGCTTTCCTCATTGCCAAAATCTAGATGAGTCAGCATAAGATACATGCAGTGACTATTATGTTGTTATTCAAAATTAGGATTACAAGTTTGGTCAGCACCAAAGTTAAGTAAGTGGCTGATTTCGGAGTCCTCCCAAAGTTCAGTGATCCCATGTGTAATTGACCGATCATAATTGTTCTTTAACTTGTTATGAAATTTTCTATTAATCCATGATCAATATTTTTTTGGGTAAATACAATTTAATATCCAAACCTTTCATTTTAAACAATATAATAGCCAGACCTTTTCGAAAACAATCTAATATCCAAATCATCAACTTTTCGTTCGTTTGACCGTTAGTTGACACTTCAAAAAAGTTCGAAATACGACGCTTCATCAATATCCATCGATATCTTCTCTGAAAATCACCAACATATCGTGGTTCCAAACCCGAGAAATCCATGACTCCACCATGATGGTATAGAATATCTAAATATTCGGTCATCTGCAATGCCAAAACAAGAAAATAAAGTTGTATTGTGACAATTTCCCCTAAACAAAGCTTTTTTGAAGTGTCAACCAACGATCAAACGGACGGAAAGATGACGATTTGGATATTAAATTGTTTTCGAAAAGGTTTGACTATTATATTATTTAAAATGAAAGGTTTGGATATTAAATTGTATTTACCCATATTTTTTTTCTTCACTTTTTTATGATTTTCCCCTTCTTTTAATTTAATGAAAAAGAAGAAATTCAGGATCGGACGATCTACTAATCACAGCGCACCACCGGCGCAACCCAAAAAATAAAGGAAAAAGGAAAAGAAGAGAAAGAAAATTAATTTCACGTAAACGGAAACGAAACAAAACAGCGCCTCCTCCCTTCTCCCCTCCCCAATTTTCTCTCTCCTCCCTTTCCCCTCTCTCTCGGATCAATCCCATTGTTGCAGCGGCAGCGGCAGGAGAAGAAGAAGGAAAGAAAGGAAACAAGGGAGGAAAACCCATCATTGATCCAGAGAAACCCAATTCGATTTGATTGTGCTTCTGTTAGTAGATTGGCATCTGGGATTTCGTTTGCAAGAGGGAGGTAAAAGGGAAAAAAAAGAAAAGAAGCCATCAACCCATTTACAGTTTCTTCTGTAATGGGGTGGCTCTTGTTGTAGGACGAGGAAGGCGTTGAGTCTCCAATGCAGTCTTATAGGGGAAGACCTAGATAAGGCGGAGAGTGGAAGAATTATTTTCTTGAGGAATTTTGCGGAGCTGTGCGGATCTTGGGCAGATTGGGAATAAGGGATCCCCGCCGATGGTGGGAAGGGCATTGCTGGGATCGCAAGGAGAAGTGACCAAGGCAAACAAGCAGCTGGTATTGGCGGGATTTGTTCATACAATTGCTGTTTGTGGTGCTGCTAGGGTAGTGCGGCTGCATTCGGGAAGAATATGCAGCTTCACATCTCGCCTAGCATGAGAAGCATCACGATATCGAGCAGTAACAGCAATGGGGGGTTTATTGACTTGATGAAGATCAAGGTCGCAGCTCGCCACATCTCTTATCGAACCCTTTTCCACACCATTCTCATTCTTGCTTTCTTGTTGCCCTTTGTCTTCATTCTCACTGCCCTCGTTACCCTTGAAGGCGTCAACAATTGCTCCTCATTCGGTACATCTCTTCTCGTTCTCTTCTATTTTTCTCAATCTGTATGATGTGACATATTTTCTGGATCCATTAGTGGATCTTGATTTGGGTTTCGTTTGATTTGATCTGGGTTGTAAATTGCATATCCCCTGAGTTAATGTAACCGACGTTCCATGTGATTTTCTCTCCCACTTGGATTCATATTCAGGGAACGGGTCTTGCATCCATTGATAGTGATTGTTTTCGTTTTCTGTTAACTGCCATTCGAGGATGGATGCATTGGTTTGACATCTTTTCTGCATTTGCATTCAGAACTGTATCGATCTGCATTTACTGTTTCTCATATTATTGTCGTCATTTTCCTGTGATTGTGCCTCTTCAAATGGGTTGTGATTCATATTGTAATTTGTGAATCAGAATTACAGAGCACTGCCTTGCTGATTGGTTATGTGCATTACTTTCAGATCTTGCATCATTGTCTGGGATAATTAATGCTTGCTGGTTGTCTACACAAACTTGTGTTCCCACAAGTGTCCCGTTACTATTGTGATTAAATTATAAGATGGGTTGCAACTTATCAAGATCTGCCTTGGCAGAATCAGAATTTAGTCCATCCTTTTCTTCAGCTACTGAGTCATTGATTAAATTCATCCATATACCATTATCAGGATTATGAATCCTTCTTGGTCACAGTTTCTAGATCCTTACTTCTTTAGCTCTTGTCCCATTGTAAGATCTGTTCCTTAAGATGATTTACTGATGAAATTCCTTTGCATGCCGCACACTTCTCCTAATCTCCTAAGGTTTCTGTTGGAATGTGGATAACTGCAAGGTTACTCCAAACAATATGATTCCTTCCTTGCTTGTGTTCGTCAGGTTAATTATTGGGTATTTCTTTTTTATTTTATTTATCTTATATTGTCCTTTCTGTTATCCTTCAGATTGCTTAGGTAGGCGGCTTGGGCCAAGACTTCTTGGCAGGGTTGATGATTCTGGGGTAAACATTCCTTGCCCTTCCCTCACAGTTCATATGCTCAGTGGTTATATGATGATTGATTAACTGAAGTCCTCTCTGATGACAATGATGCAGCAGAGGTTGGTCAAGGACTTCCACAAGATATTGAATCAAGTTAATACAGAGGAAATTCCTAATGGTCTAAAGCTCCCGGAGTCATTTAGTCAACTTGTTGCTGAAATGAAGAGCAACCAATACGATGCAAAGACATTTGCTCTTACATTGAGAGCTATGGTATGTTTATGTTTCCATTTGTAGCTCTAGCTATGATACACCTTCTGCTAATTTCTTGGAGGGAATTGGTGGTACAAACATATAAAATAAGAATCAATACCTTGGTATCTTAGAATATTTATTTATACCCTGATTAGCTGTCCAGTTGATTGGCTGATCGATAGATATAATGTGGATAAAATCTTAACGAGTACTTAAGAGTTCAATTCTGTATGATTTTTGTGTGCATCATGGTCGGTATGCATTGCATTGCATAGATAGGCAATGTGCCTTGAGACATTGATTCTATGCAGTTGGTTGAAAGAGACAAAAATTTATGTGGCCTTTAGAGCGCCAACCCCACTTTGTGAAAGAAATCAGTGAAACACTGGTAAAACACAGTTTAACCTAACTCCTTTCTTTTGTTCCAGATGGAGAAATTTGAAAGGGAAATTAGAGAATCGAAATTTGCAGAGCTGATGAACAAACACTTCACTGCAAGTTCTATTCCAAAAGGCATCCACTGTCTCTCTTTGCGTTTGACGGATGAATATTCCTCTAATGCACATGCGCGCAGGCAACTGCCTGCTCCAGAGTTGCTCCCTCTGTTGTCTGACAACTCTTACCATCACTTCATACTATCAACAGACAACATTTTGGCAGCATCAGTTGTTGTGACTTCGACTGTGGCATCATCACTAAGACCTGAAAAGATTGTCTTTCATGTCATCACTGACAAGAAGACTTATGCCGGGATGCATTCTTGGTTTGCACTAAACTCTGTCTCCCCTGCTATCATTGAAGTCAAAGGCGTCCATCAGTTTGAATGGTTGACCAGGGAGAATGTTCCCGTGCTCGAAGCTGTAGAGAGCCATAATAGTATCAGGAACTATTATCATGGAAATCATGTTGCTGGAGCAAATCTCAGCGATACAACTCCACGTATGTTTGCTTCAAAACTACAAGCTAGAAGTCCAAAGTACATTTCCTTACTCAACCACCTACGGATATATTTACCTGAGGTAATCAGTTATGATCTGAAGTAGTGGTTTATGTTAGTTATGGGTATGAATTTCCTATATCATGTCTGCTACACAACAGAGAATAGTAGAGGTAAAGTGAATTGATTTATGGGAAGTTGTAAACTAGTACATAATTCACATGCCTTTACTTGTCTTTACATGTCTTGTTTTAAACTCAACAGATAAACCTTGGAGCATGTCTTAGGTTTACCTTCTTCATAATTTGCAATGCATTTGCAAAGTATTTTTGAAGAAGATACAGCCTTTTCTTAAGCAAAATGGAATGTGAACCAGT